CCAGTGACACTCAATCTAGTAGCAAGCAACCGCAAAGTACAGTTTCAAAGTTGTTTCAGCCAAGTGTTCTTATAATTATTACTTTTATATTCTCCCTAATTTGAATTCAAATTGTTTACAGAAAGTTAAGATCATTTTATTTGTTATTTTACTGCTTGCTCTAGAGAAAAATATGTGTTTTATTTCTGAATATTTAAAAACAAATTTAATATTGGTGGCGGTTCATGGGTCCCTGATTAATAAAGGGACTAAGCCAGCGAAAATATTAATAATAATATCTAATATCTTTTCAGTTTATTTTTTTAACTCACACTCACTGCATTTTAGCAGTAAGAAGCTAGAATACAGATTATTGGGCTGAGGCTTGACTACAAAATTAAATCGCAAATCAAATCAAAATCACAATATCTGTCAATAAAAAATAAAAAAATAAAAAAAAATATTTGGGTAGCACAATCGCCTCAAAGCAGCCGCGGCTGGGTCAGTTGGCATTTCTGTGTGGAGTGTGCAATGCATGTTCTCCACGTGTTTGCGTGGGTTTCCTCCTGGTACTCCGGTTTCCCCCACAAGTCCAAACACATGTGGTATAGGTGAATTAAATAAACTGAAACTGGCTGTAGTGTATGTGAATTGGGTAAGCTAAATTGTCTGTAGTGTATGTGTAAGTATGGATATTTCACAGTGCATCCGCTGCATAAACATATGCTGGATAAGTTGGCAGTTCATCCCGCTGTGACGACCCCAGATTAATAAAGGGACTAAGCCAAAAAAGAAAATGAATGAATGAATGAATGAATTGAACGATAACTATATATATATTTCAATATAAGCTGCTTCCAGATTTAAAAGAGCACAATGACTGAAGCCACAAAAATTAAAGGGGCCATTAAATGGTGGCCGACAATTCGATACATCTCTAATGTCAACACACTTTTAGATTCCCATTGTTGCACGTTTCTGCTGTGTGATTGGCTCTTAGATCAATATAGAGTAAAAAGTCCAGAGATTATCATTGTTATTGACATAAATTTAATCGGGATTCTATATATTGTTTATTGGCCCAGCCCTAGAGCTACTTAAGTGTAAATAATGATAAAATGTCAATTTTAGTGTGAACTGCCCTTTTCAACACTGTTGAGTTAAAGTCAACCAGCTGCAATTGTCCTCCAGACACTAACACAAACCTGTTAAAATATTGTATACTCAAGTCAATATAGCTAGATATGGGAATTCTGGGGTCCAGATCTACTCAGTTCACTTTTCTGTTGTTTCACCTCATCTAAACTATAAGCCAGATTACAAATTAGGATTTCCCTAAGAGGAATACACGCTCAGATGCCTTTAAAGAACATTTGTGTTGATGTTCAGGACTTGGAAGGACACTGGCAGGAAGTGGCGTTCAAACTGGGAGACAAAGTATGTGCTCTCTGAAGACTTGCCTTTTTCCGTCCAGGTCCGGGCCAAAAAACAAGCTGCTAAGAACACTGTTTGTCTGCACACTGACTACAATGTCCTTTTTGGGCAGTGCCAGTTGGGATACCAGCAGCCTTTGTTGTGATTGGTCTACCACTGCTGCCTGGTGTGACCAAAGCCAATCAGCAATCAGCTGGTTACAATGCGAAACGAGCCAGATCACCCAGTTACTGAGTTTTTTAGCCAAAGTTCGTAGTCATTTGGCACCATGCACCAACCTGCATACTTAGACCCTGTGAGTTGGATGCAAAACTTGTGTTTTTATCAAAACAACACACTTAATATATAAACAAATAAACAGTAGGTGTTCATAATACAGCCAGCATATTAAAATAAATCTAATCACGATCTAGAACAACAAACAATAGATTTTTTGGCTACTCTTGAAAAAAAAAGACACTTTTTGGTGTCACATCTGTCTACTGAGCATCAGAAGAGACCTTAATAATGTCTAAACTCTGCTGAAAAATATATACATCAAATCCTCTGTAGACTAAATTATCTGACTGGATGATTTTACACTCTTAATGCATTTATATTCTGAATGCATTTTATAAATCAGTTCTGTCTGTTTTTATTTCACCAATGGGAGTTTAGAAGAAATAGTCATGACTAGGGATGCAACGATTAACCGATTTCACTATTACCCACGGTTAGGGTTGTAACGGTATGAATTTTTTACGGTATGATAATAGTCTAAAACAATACCACGGTTTGACGGTTTCGCGGTATACGGTATGTTACAAATGTTACAAAATAATAGAACAGTGAAGCAAATTTGACTTTTTCCAAATAATATATTTTCAGTTACTATAAACAACACCACTTACAATGAACAAATAAAAAAATAAGAAAATAATAAATAATGTGTCAAAGTCCAAATAAAGTCCAAATAAACATGGTGCAAATCCTCAGTAAAAAAATAGATATAAATATTTACTATACTATAAATAGTTACATAACGAAACTAGATTCAATATGGAACATCCTTAGGTTTTATGTGCCAGCATGGATATGGTTGTCTGTGGATATGGATTTGGATATGGTTGTCTGCAATGCAGACAAACAGCTGCACCTTCATTTGCGTCTTTTGAAAACAGCAAGAGCAGCAGTTCGTCTTTGCTGTGTCACTGTTTTGTCATGTTTCTGTGCTGCTGTGCATGTAAAAGTACTTAGTATGAGAATTATTTCATGCAAAACTTTTTTTTTGCGTTTTATTTAGCCGCGCAGAAATGTATGCCTATCTCTCATTCCGTGTTGTTCAAAAAGCTCGTTTTTGGTCCACAAACAAAAGTGAAACCTATGCTTATTGGTTGTGATATAGCGAGTTTGAACCAATCTGGGCATGGAGGAGGGACAATGCATTAATGTATCATGTCTGGTTTGTCCGGAGACACAGTGACGAGCGTTTCTTTGTCAAATCAGCGGTGTCAAATTTTGATGACGTAACCGCACTGATTCCGGAGCCTCCGGAGCCGCGAATGTTATGTGATACAGCACTGGAAAGCTGAGATTCTCTTCTTTATGCCAATCTTTGAATTGTATGAATCTGATCAGCGGATCAAAAGTTATTAAACATTTAAGAGCAATACTTATTTTTAGCCGCGGGCGGCTGTCTCGGTCTTTAAGGGTTAAAACCGTTGATATGCAATTGTTCATGGCATGATAATCGTGCACGTTCAAATTGTGGTAGACCGTCATACCGGTATATTGTTACAACCCTACCCACAGTTAAATTTGTCACGGTAAATGAATCGTAAAGGTTTCTCAACACTGTGTTTCTGCATGGAACAAAACTGCTGCAACTTTAAGTTATGCCAACTGTGCACTAGTTTAAAGTTTCGAGCTTGTAAACAATATGCACGCACATTAGATCGAAGACTGATTTTAACTATGGCTGAGGAGGTTTTTAACTAAGGGCCATTCACATATTTACGCGCACAAGTTCGTTATTTCCAATGGAGGCACGTGGTTTGCATGCATATTAGTGCCGTTTAACCAGGGGTTCAGCAGTATTTGACTACATTTGTTCTATTTAAAAGGGAAATACTTAAATAATAAGATGCTTAGATGACATTAGACAAAACTTTTTATTTATTTATTTATTTTTGTTCTGTCATTTATTTTCAGTGTAAAATGATTACTTATGTTTAAATGCCAAAAGCATTTTTCACTTATTTTTAAGTCCAAAGATAAATGGATTATATTGTTTGTTCTTTATTGTTATTTTTGCTGTATTAATTGATTACTGTTAATACTTTAAAATATAAGAAGTTTTCATGTGATTTTCTAAACAAGTAGTATTTTGAAGTAAATGAATGCATAATAATCGTGAAAATCGTGATTATTCCTCAGATTATAATCGTACAACCAAAATCTCTAATCGTTGCATCCCTAGCCATGACAAGGTTAATAAATCATTAGTCCTCAAGAGCCATGAAAGAGTAAATACTAAGCATTAAATTGCACTAATGAAACAGAATGACCATGTGTCAGCATGCCTTGTGAGATGTTCATTTTTTGGGAATTTGGCACCTTCAGCATACAACCTCAGGGTAAAACAAAGTCTGGATTAATGATGATTTTACCTCAATTATTTACCTTCTCAAAGATCATCATCAGTGTCAGACATATAAAGTGCTCAAGTACAAACCCTCCTGTCCTGAAAGCACACTGATTCATTGACAAAACATGATTTACACCTGTTTTCCCACACCCTAATGACTCTTTAATGAGTTCAACACAAAGGCTGCTCTGTGCTGGCTCTGGTGCAGGCTGTTTGCATGTGTCAAGGTGTGATTATGACTTTCCAACCAAAAATTCAGGATGTTTATTTAAAATAAAGTTTAACACTAAAGCAAAATGATAAAAACAATGATATCCAGAGCTTTTCCAGAGTTATGGATGTGACATTTGCAGACACATAAACTCACAGAGAATGTATGTGTTAAAATATATTGAAATATCTGTTTATATTTTCCCAAAGAACTAACCACAGACAAAGTATCAGACAAATATAAGTCTGTAAACGTGTTTTAAATGTTAATTGAGGAAAATAAACGTGTTTTAGGGATGTAACACTACACAACATACGTTTTGTACGTCATAATTATGTATACTAGCAAATTTTGTTAATTAAACTGTGTAAACCAAAATAAATAATACTGATAAAATAGCTGTGTTATCTCTGTAAAACAAATCATATTTATTTAATTTTAAATATATTTATTTAATTTTACGTTTATGAATAAAAGGCTTAGTTATTTATGTGTGCCATCTCTCCATTATGGATGTGACAGATGTGAAACGGGCACTTGAGTGACTTAGGTAAATCAAACTGTTTAACAACGACAATTTTGAGCTTTTTTTACAGTATTGTACAATACAAGCCTTCACAAACAGCTTAGAAAAGGGTTTCACTATTTAGTTGAAAACTATTTCCTTCATGGCAAGGTTGACATTTGGAACTTTTGATGTGTATTAAAATTATTAGCAGTAAATAAATAAATCACCCTGTATCTACTCACCAAAATATTCCTTTTTCATGTGTATCTCGAGCTCTTTCTCCAACTCCAAGGTGAGGGCCTCCAGGCGCCGCTCCGCCTGACTGGGGCCGCTGTCCCGAGATGGAGTGACCTGGTACGGCAGCTTGAAGCGCTGTCCCCCGGCGCCCGCCTTGCAGTAGTTAAACCCAATGTTGACTTCTGAATTCTGCTGCTGAGGCTCCTCCAGCACGGGGAACGTCTGCAGGTGGACGCGGTTGTTATGAAGGCCGTTTGGCTCGGTGAAGTCCTGCAGCAGCGCGTCCTCTGGCAAACCGGGTCCCAGCATGGGCAGCTGGAGCTCGGGATACGCGCTCATGGATCCCCTGGAGCTTCGCGAGCTCCTGGAGCTGTGGCTGGAGATGCTGGAGCGGGGACTGACCACGCAGTTAGCCGCCACCGCGGGTTGGCTGCAAATGCTGGACCGAGGGCTGGCCATGGGGATGCCGTGCACCGCGGCGCTCTCTGGGTCATGGCCCCCGGCCGGCGTGAAGCGCGAGTCGGAGTAGCTGGAGCGCGGGCTGGTGGTGCTCGACCTCGGGCTGATGTGCCGCTGGTCGTAGCCCATGCTGATTCCGCTGGTTCGGTTGCTGCTCGGTTTGCTGCCGCAGTCATAGCTGTTGAGGCTGGTTCTGGGGCTGGAGTGTTTGCTGGTGTCGCTGGCCGTGCTGGCGTAGCTCGAGCGCGGGCTGATCACGCTGGTCCCCTCGCCCTGTCCGGGAGACACCAGGCTGGAACGCGGGCTGCTGATGCTCGACCTCGGGCTCGTGTGTTTGCTCTGATCCTGCGATGAGTGCGATGAAGCCAGGCTGGAGCGAGGGCTTGTGGCCGTGTATCTGCCGTCAGGGCTGCTCATACACAGGCTGTTGCTCCTCGCGCCCGAAACGGCCACCTGTTTCCCCAAAACGAGCCCGTCATACGCGCAGCCGGTGCTGTACCGGTGTCCCTGCACCTCCGCGTGCGTGTATCTCCTGAGACGGTCCGACGCGCCGCTGTAACACGGCAAGGCAACTTCGGATTTGGTGCAGTACACATCGGGATCTGGATAAACCGCTTCCCTCTGCGGAGAGCAGAAATCCAGAGGCACTGAGGCTCGGTTTCCGTTGACGGAGCGCACGGGAGCCGCGCTGTAGACTTTGTTCCCGGGCGTAGAAGAGCTGCCATTCATTCGCTTAGTTTTCTCCATATCGGGGTTCGGTTCTCCGTACATCCCATCTTGATAAACGTCATATATTGAGAGGGTTTCCATCAGTTTGCTCGCTCTGCGCCCCGGATCCTCGTCGTATTCATCCATGTCGGACCGTGAGGCGAGTTGAGGGAACGGGGGAGCGCGCGGAGCACTAGTCAACTACAGCACAAACTGCATTTTTACACGGAAAAACGCCGCCTCAGGCGAGCCATCGTAGCCTGTTCGCGATTACTTAGTCCTTCGCAGTCATTTCGTCACGATTCATGATCCCCGCCTGTCGATTTGTGGCGATACAGCCGTCGTGACAAAGTTTCCACACAAGAGACCGTTTGTCAATTTCAGTTTTTGTAAAGTTGAAAGGTCTTTACAGTCAATGGCGCGCTGCGCGGAGGAATTTTCTCGCTTTGATTTTCCGTGATTGCCCTCGAGAACTCATTTGCAGCAATTTTAAAGAACGTAAAATTCCCCTCTGATGATATCACGACGATTGAAACGTTTGCTGAGTGTGTGAATTGACGACGACGCATTTAGCCAACATTACATTCGGCCCTAGTTTGTGCGAGAGGAATGCGCGGAGGGAGACCGTGTGTGCTGCGGCGCTCTGGAATGTGGTTAATGCCGGAGCGAAACAATGATAGAGAGCAACTCAGCAAGGGGGAGCAGAGTCCTGAAAAAAAGTCCTTTGGAGAGCCTATGTGTGTCCACTTTCATCCAGCGGGCCAGATTAAAGATTTAACCACACAGACCAGCCCACAGAAAATAATTAAAAACTCAACTGAACATCTCTAAACTTTAAACAAGCACCTCTAGTGAGTGTGTGCATTTGAGCTGCTTAATATAAATGAATATTAAGGAAACTATCTTAAAAGTATTTATATTTGTGGTTCATTAAACATCTACCTATGCTGTGTTGCGCAGGTAACTCCAAAACAACAGCACATCTATCTACCATACACTGGATGTTAGCACTGAATCTGGGGGAAGGGCAGATCCCAAACATTTCATTCATGTGCGAAAGCTATTGTCACCAACTTGCATATATTCTTTCAACACAAAATACAGTGGCTTGTATTTCGACACTCAAGCCACGATTAAATGTCAGTGAGCACACTTTCAAAGCAAGCAGCGCTATTTATTGTAAATAGAGCTCAAACTCATGTTTTCAAGTGAACTGTTTGACAAAATGACGTGTGTTTGGTTTGGACTGATCAAACAATAGATGTAGTGTTGAAAATGAAGAGAGTTTTTCTTGTATACTGAAACATGCTGATGAGTTACACCTGAACAACTGTGAACTTAAGAACAGCCTGTTGATATTTTGTCTACACCTTGAAATTCATACGCTGAATAAATCCTCCCAATGTAATAAATCTGTGGGATAACACTTTCAGTGTGTGTGTGTGTGTGTGTGTGTGTGAATGTGTTTTTGTGACACATCAGGACATTGTGACGTGTATTACACAGGTATAACAGCAGAAGGCGAATTATGAGGACATCTAGGACATTATAGGGACAAAATTTTCAGAAATTTAAATGTACAGTATCTTGTGAGGGATGGGTTTAGGTATATAAATAGAAAATACAGTTTGCACAGTATAAAAACAATGGGAACCTATGATGTGTCCCCATAAATTCACAAAAACAAATGTGTGCGTGTGTGTATGAGTGAAAAAACGCAGTTTTTTGACAAAATGAACTTTCAGTTCCAAGTACACAGGTTTAATTTCTATGCATTTACATTAATATGCATGCATGAGTTTCTTTGAATGATACAATTTAAAAATATATTAATATTTTATTTGGTGCACTTTTTCTATTACTAGTCAGATATAAGCATTGATAATGACTGGTATTGCAGACATCAATATTTTCTTTATTTACCTGAAGCTCAAGATGCTTTTTGAATCTCAAGTGTACTGTTAAAGTCAGCATGAACTGGAAGTTGTAGACTTTAATTTCATTTTGATAAAGTATTTGATCTGAAATTGAATATTAAACAGGGGGCAAAGAAACATCTTTCACTCACAGCGAATTAAAGGTGGAGACACAAGTATATTTCGCCCAATCAGTCAAACTGATGTCAGAGGAAGACTGCCATTTCAGAGCGGAAGCAGAGATTTTGATTACAGATTACCAAAACAACATTTTTAGTAAATTAACCTGCACAGATTAATTGTTCACTTTAGGACTAACAGTGTGTGCATTGTGTATAAACAATTTCAATTTAGATTTTATGCAGATTTAAATATTAAAGGGCACCCATTTTATCCCTTTTTCAAGATTTAAGATAAGTCTTTCGTGTCTCCAGAATGTGTCTGTAAAGTTTCGGTTCAAAACACCCATCAGATCATTTATTATAGCTTTCAAAAGTTTATAATTTTCAGCACTGAGCATCTTGTAGCTGTATTTGTTGCCTGTGCCTTGAATGCTGGTTTTCCCCGCTCACCGTTCCCACATGCCTGTCAGAGTGTGCCTCAATCTCCGGCTTTGTCAGATAAAGAGCACAGTGACAGACATGAAATAAGCAGATCTCATGTAACGTTTGTGAGAAATAGTACAGTAAGAACCTCCCAATGATTATTTGATGTATTTGTTGTGGAGTTAATTCAAGCCTTTTCATGAGTCACACACAGTGTTGTTACAAAGTTCACGCACACAAATACACACACACTTAACTTTGCACTGTTTTTGTATAGCAAATGTGGCAGGATACATGTTAATACCTACCCAGGCTCATTCTGAAAACGTAGTCGCGCAGACATTTTTGAGACCGCGAAATATGTAGCTGGAGGTTTGTATGGCTGCATTTGATTTTTTAAGTGAACGCTAAGGGAGCAGTATGACATCGTTCCTTTTGGCGCTTACCGGCTGACCGCTTACCTCCGTGTGGAGGGCTTTCCCGCTGCAACCAGTTTGTCCAGTTAGCTCGTCGTGTACATCAGAGAGGAGATTGACCACGACTACGACGACCGATTGGCAGGTCGGCCAGTCAATCATTAAGTCAGACGGTCGACAGCGGCCTCTGGTGGTTTACGCAAGAACATCACGGGCGCGAACGGCACTCGCGAGAGACATTTGAGATGCGAAAAAGCGCACACAGTGCCCAAAAAACTGCAAAAATACGTACCTCCCAGTAAGTATTTCGCAGTCTCCAGAAATGTTCACAGGACTACGTTTTTAGAATGAGCCTGGGTTGGTTAATACCCACTGCTGTATTAAAATCCATTATGCTATTGTACAAATAAACCAGATTTAAAGTCCACAAACCGGGATTGAAGTGTCTTCTTTTATCATTTGTATTGACACGCGGCTGTGGGGATAAAGATGTTTTAAACATGTTTTAAACTTGTAAAACTCATTCTTGATCACATTTGATGATGATTGATGACCACAGAGAGCTCAACAGATCTTTTAATCCTGGTTGCTTTTTGCGCACGTCCTGTCTTGTTGATAAAATTATACGCGTTACTACGAAAACATGTTAATACATGACTGTCAATCAATTCGGTGGGTGGGAAAACCACACTCCTATGTCACGTTGCGGTCGACCTCAAAGTGGGAGGGGTTTGGATGCTATTTTAACGTCAGGAAATTTAAAAAAGAGACTTATTGTGTTTATATCACCCTAATATGACTGTGGAGACACTATACCTGCACACAGTTCTGTATAAACAGCTTACTAAAGTTGATTTCCATCATAGGTGCCCTTTAAGGAATTTGCCATATTTTAAATGATGCCCTGCATTGTGTAATAAAGTTGAAGGAAATGTCTGTTTATTCATTCTTTAATTTTCTTTTCGGCTTAGTCCTTTTATTATTCTGGGGTCACCACAGTGGAATGAATCGGCAGCTTATCCAGCATATGTTTTACGCAGCAGATGTCCTTCCAGCTGCAACCCATCACTGGGAAACACCCATACACACTCATTCACAGACACACTCATACACTAAGGTCAATTTTAGCATACCCAATTCACCTGTACTACATGTCTTTGGACTTGTGGGGGAATCCAGAGCACCCGGAGGAAATCCACGTGAACACAAGGAGAACATGCAAACTCCACACAGAAATGCTAAATGACCCAGCTGGGGCTTGAACCAGCGTCCTTCTTGCTGTGAGGCGAACGTGCTACCCACTGCGCCAACACGTCTCCCTGAAATGTCTATTTACTATAAATATAAATATATATTTATAAATATATATATATTAGTTAACATTACATACAGAAGTCAACATTTGAAGCGGATCAAAACTTTTCAATAAAGATGTCATAAAACTATTACAGCCGAACAGCCGTTTTTGTCTTGGGGACAATTTTGAAAAACTTTTTTGATCCACTTCAAATGTTGACTACTGTATACAGCAAATAGTATAGTGCATTATCATGATAAAAAAATTAAGCAGCAAGAACAATTTTCTGCATTTATTAAAAAATATTTGCTGGTGTAATAGATTATAATCAATAATTAAGTCTTGAACAAGCAGTAAATCATCATAATGATTTCTGAAGTATTGTGACACTGCAGTCTGAAGTAATGATGAAGAAAATTCAGCTTTAAAAAATAATTATATATTTGAATTTATTTTATTTAACAGGGACAATGCTCGTTAATCAACAGTAAAACTGTAAATAAACCAGAGTTAGCCACAAGGGCTAATTTTCATCTGTTGCCCCCATATATACAGTTGAAGTCAGAATTATTCGCCCCCCTTTGATTTTTTATATATATATATATATATATATATATATATATATATATATATATATATATATATATATATATATATATATATACATATATATATATATATATCCCAAATGATGTTTAACAAAACAAGGAGATTCTCACAGTATGTCTGATAATATTTTTTCTTCTGCAGAAAGTCTTATTTGTTTTATTTTGGCTAGAATAAAAGCAGTTTTTAATTTTTTAAACACCATTTTAAGGACAATATTAGTAGCCCCTTTAAGCTATATAATTTTTCAATAGTCTACCGAACAAACCATTGTTATACAATAACTTGCCTAATTACCCTAACCTGCCTAGTTAACCTAATTAACCTAGTTAAGCCTTTAAATGAAGTTTATTCATAAACTAATTTCGAGAGGACCACGTGCTTATGATTTATAAGGCCGGTCTCGTATTAGCTAATCACTATCTTCCAATCATATGAGCAGCTACTATAAATAACCACAGTTTTCAGTTCATTTTATCTTCGTTTGGAAGAAACCCGCCTTCCTCCCCAATGCTCCTCCTTTACAGTGCTCACAGTGGTTAGCACTGTGAGCCCCACAGCAAGAACACTGCTGGTCCTGGTTCGCCAGGCCGGTAGGCGTTTCTGTGAGGAGTTTGTATATTCTCCCCGTGTCCGCGTGGGTTTTCCCCGTGTTCTCTGGTTTCCTCCCACCATCTACAGATATTCAACATGCATAACAAACAAGCACCTGTCTAAGCCCTTTTCTCATGTGTTCCCTTAGCTACCGCAGCCAGGGAGTTCTGAGATCCACCGAGCTCAGGCTCCCCTCTCGCTCTGCCAACCGGAGGAAGCCCTAGGCTCGAGGATCCCTTGAGCTCTTGGCTCTCTCCCGGGACAGCATGCCAAACAAGCTTTTGATAGATCATCAGCAAAGTGTGAACTCTTGAAATGTCACTTTAAGCTGTATAGAAGTGTCTTGAAAAATATCTAGTCAAATATTATTCACTGTCATCATGGCAAAGATAAAATAAATCAGTTACAAACTCCTAATCCACTCGGTGGTCCTTTAAGGTAATCAAAAATCACTGCTTACATGGTAGACTCTTAATAAGAGTATTATCTTAATCATATTAAAATCGGAGTACTGGTGTCAATGTAAATGTACTCAGAAAGTGCCAGATGAAGTGGCTAGCTGTCAAAGACAGTGCATTCCTCTGCCTTTCAGCATGTGCCCTCGAATGTTTCATTAAGTTTGACGTGTTTCCCCATTAAACACAACTTTTGTAAAGCGTATGCTTCTCATTGTTTTGTCAGAATCCTTGTGAAATACAGCCATACTTAAGAACGAATAGTTTAAGCAAATTTGATGAACGCGATCATGGTTGATGAATCTGAAGGGAGTCACTCCGGCTGCCCTATCCTGTGTGCGTTGTGTGTGTGTCTGTGTGTGTGTGCGCACGCGCTTCATTGCAACAAACCTGCCTAAACGTTGTTGTCCGTAGCCACAAAATCAAAAAGTTACGAATTGCTGTGAGATTGCGCTGCACTCTCAGCTCACATCATTCAAAAGAAAAGGTCCACATTGTCCCCCGGTAGTGTCAACAGACTGGACTGTCTAAGCAACTGGCTGAATGTAAAGGAGGACTGAGCAAAATTGTTTCTACTTCATAATTAATGTTCTCAACTCACAGCCATACAACTTTTCAATGAGTGCAAATGTTTGTATTCAAAACTTTATTGTTATTATAATTTTCCATTTTCCATATTTGCAATGCCTGTATTTTGGCATTTTTTGCAGTCCACTTAGAATCCAACATGGAAATCATTTTTTTTTCTTTATTGTCATTGATTGTTTTGAAATTCAAATGGTATAAACATGCCTGTGTTTTTATTTCTGTAATAAATATGGCTGTCAGGCAAGGATCTTGATGGTTTATTGTGGGTTTGTTGTTTACATGAAGAAATCTGTGTTACAAGTTAAACAAAAATTCTAATAAACAATTATATTTTGAATTTAAATAGTTTTTGTCTTGCGTTTAAATTAATTTGACATTTGAACAGCCAAAATTACAAGTTTCAGTCTTTTAAATGTGATTAATCGCGATTAAATTTAAAGAAATAGTGTGATTAATTAGTTTTTTTTTAATTGATTGACAGAACTAATTCATTTACATCACATATATAGCAAATAAAGTTGATTTACCAGTCAGGCATCACATATATTGTGTTTTTGCACAATAACCAAATAATAAAATTAGCAGAAAACAACAAGACATGATGCTGTTATTTAAGAAGCATATTAAAGCATATTTTCCCAGCTTATTTGAAATATAAAATCCCTCATATAAACATAAATGTTTTTAAAACTAACAAATCTGGTAAGTATAAACCTCACAGCACTAAAACCATGCATTTTACTGTCCCACAACCGGAAGGCAGGAGAGAAGCACAGCTACGAATGCAACCACCACGAAAACATCTAAAATTAGTTTCCTAATTGACGACCGGCTGCGCTTTTTCCCGTGACCTCTGGCTTGAAACCATTGCACAACATCTTCCAGGTCATACAGTTTAGGCTCGTATCCCAGCTCCTCCCGAGCCTTACGCATACTGAAATAGTGCGTGACGCCAGTCTTGTAGACCTCTGTACGGGTCAGCAGCGGCTGGAAGTTATAAATCCGACCCACCACGAAATGAACCATCTCCGTTAGGAACGCAAAGAAGTATATCATTGATATAGGCAGTCGGAGAGTGGGGAACGAATATCCCAAACCCTCCACCAAAGGTCTGAAAAACTCAAAATTATTCACAGGCCTTCCGTCAGAAATAAAATAAGCCTGTCCGGCAGCACGGCACTGTTGTTTTTCGGTTAACGCATCAGCAGCTAACAGATGCGCGGAGACTAGATTATCAACATGAACAAACTCCACAAGACTATCAGGATCGCCGTACACAAATCTGAAAATCCCGTTCTCAATATAACTAACAATCCTAGGAAGGTGTCTTTGCTCTCCAGGCCCATATATTCCAGCAGGACGCAGTGCACAAGTTCTGAGGACACCTGTGCTGTTACTTAGCGCCAAATTGTTGGCTTTTAATACCTGCATTTCTGCAATGGACTTAGTTCTGGAGTAGTGATCGGGATGCAGGTGCAAAGGCAAATAAGGGAGGCTTTCATCTCCGTTCTTAATCTCCTGACCTCCGAATACTACGTTAAATGTGCTCGTGTAGATCAGTCGTGGGACGCTGTGTGCCACGCAGGCCCGCAGGATGTTCTCTGTACCCTTTACGTTCACTTCTTCGATGAGTTTGCGATTGAGCTGTTCCCGTCCTGACATCCCATAGGAGGCGATGTGGAACACGCAGTGAGAGCCGCGAACCGCTTTTTCTACCTGTGCGTAATCCCGGATATCTGCTCGCATGAATATCAGACCCTCGGGGAGATCTTGGATTGGGGGACTCACGTCAAACAGGACAACTTTGGAGGAGGTTTTGAGGAGAGCGCAGGCGAGGCTGGAAGAGAAACACATTTGCGCACGCAAATTTAAAATAAAATCTTCCACATGCATATTTGGCAACTAACAAAGTAAAAGAAATGATATAAAATATTACAAAGATGACATCCTTGTAATAGTATACTTAGTAAACACAGTTGAAGTCAGAATTATTAGCCCCCCTTTGATTATTTATTTATTTTTTAAATATTTCCCAAATGATGTTTAACAGAGCAAGGAAATTTTCACAGTATGTCTGATAATATTTTTTGTTCTGGAGAAAGTCTTATTTGGTTTATTTCGGCTTGAATAAAAGCAGTTTTTAATTTTTTAAACACCATTTTATTGTCAAAATTATTAGCCCCTTTAAGCTTATATTTTTTCGATAGTCTACAGAACAAACCATCGTTATACAATAACTTGCCTAATTACCCTAACCTGCCTAGTTAACCTAATTAACCTAGTTAAGCCTTTAAATGTCACTTTAAGCTGCATAGAAGTGTCCTAAAAATATCTAGTCTAATACATTTACATTTACATTTACATTTAGTCATTTAGCAGACGCTTTTATCCAAAGCGACTTACAAATGAGGACAAGGAAGCAATTTACACAACTAAGAGCAACAATGAATAAGTACTAAAGGCAAGTTTCAGGTCTGTAAAGTCTAAGAAGGAAAGTATTAGTAATTTTTTTTTTTTTTTTTTTTTCAGTTAGTGTGATATTCAAATAGGCAATTGCAGATTAGGAAGTGAATATTTATATATTTACATATTTACAATATTTATATATTACAGTCATCATGGCAAAGATAAAATTAATCAGTTATTAGAGATGAGTTATTAAAACTATTATGTTTAAAAATGGTTACAAAAATCTTAACTCCGTTAAAAATAAACAGGGGGGGCTAATCATTTTGACCTGTACATGCTCGATATTTAAAAACAAATGTACATTTTCTGACTTGGAAGAAACATTCATCTTTTTTGTGAATGTACTGTATTGTGTGAATCTATTTTGGACTGAACTGTGTACCTATCTCTCAGAAAAGATACATGTTGAAATTTGTTTATATACTTTTGACATTTTTTTATTACAATTTTTAAGTTTGCATTAAGTACATTGTTAATCTTTTTATTATAATGGGCAAGCTTTTTTATTCACAAGAGTATATAGTTAGAAAAGACTCCAATACTGGCTGCTTTAGCTGACTATAAGTCATATATTTTATCTTAAGTTTTAATACTTTTTCTTTAGTTCTTTTATCTTTTAAAAGTCGAATATGGCTTTCAAAGTATAACCTTATACACTACCTGACAAAAGTCTTGTCGTCAGCCCCAGTTGTAAGAGTAACAAATAATAACTTGAATTGTAGTTGATCATTTGGTGTCAGAAGGTGGATTTTTCAGCTGAATCATCTGTTGATCTGCATCCCAATCATCACACACTGCAGAAGACCTACTGAAACCAGCATGGAGCCAAAATTCTCACATAAATCAGTCAAGGTTGGTGAAGGAGAAATCCTGGTTTGGAGTTTCATTCACATTCAGTATGTGGGGCGTGCAAGAGATCTACAGAGTGGATGATCAACATCAACAGCCTGAGGTATCAAGACATTTGTGCTGCCCATTACATTACAAACCACAGGAGAGGGACAATTCTCCAGCAGGATAGCGCTCCTGCTCATACTTCAGCCTCCACATCAAAGCTCCTGAAAGCAAAGATGGTCAATATGCTCCAGGATTGGCCAGCCCAGTCACCAGACATGAACATTATTGAGCATGTCTGGGGTAAGATGAAGGAGGAGGCGTTGAAGATGAATCCAAGTAATCTTGATGAACTCTGGGAGTCCTGCAAGAACGCTTTCTTTGCCATTCCAGATGACTTTATTAATCAGTGATTTGAGTCATGTCAGAGATGTATGGATGCAGTCCTCCAAGCTCATGATGGAGTCAGACACAATATTCATTCTGTCTCCACTGCAGCAGGACTTTATATTCTATACTGGACATTATTTCTGTTCAGTGATGAGACTTTAGTCTAAGTAGAGTTAGACCTTACTGTCCTAATGAAATAATTCATAATCAAGGCATGATCATATTTTATTGTGCTCAAATAGGCATAATATAGAGCAGTGGTTCTCAAACTGTGGTACGTGTACCACTAGTGGTACGCAGGCTTCCTTCTAGTGATACGTGTATGAATCAAATATGTAATAAGTACAATGCTACATATATTGAAAGAAATTATCAAAAATGATTTATATATGAATATGATGACATAAAGCCTATATTTATGAGGTCCAGGCAACATTTTCAGGTGCTAATAAACCAGGAGTTATTTCTTTTTTGAACTGTACAGAGCTTAAGCTGCTTTACTAGACCTAATACGCTACTGTATTTCAAAACTGCTCATTATGGTGGTACTTGCAAAGACAATTTTTTTCAGAGGTGGTACTTGATGAAAAACATTTGAGAACCACTGATATAGAGGCATTTGCCTTTCATATAAGCCACTTCTGATACCAAATGATCAACTAGAAATCAACTTATTATTTGCTGCTCAAAAACTTGGATAGGCGACAAGACTTTTGTCAGGTAGTGCATAAAAATTGTCCCTCTGGGTCTTAATTTATATATATATATATAAATATAAATATATATATATATATATATATATATATATATATATATATATATATATATATATATATATATTACTGTTTTTGTTCTTTAAAATGTAATACACATAATGTAACACTATTGATGTATTTTATTTCTAATGTTCTAAGTTTCAAAGTTGATGCAATATTTTACTGTTTTATGATCTAAAAAGGTGAAAGTCCAGGGATACAAGTAGTCTACTGCAGTGTTTTGGCTCCATCTAGTGGATTGAGAATATTCTATTACTGATATTGGGGTGATTTGAGGGAAAATTGGAGAAAAGTCTTAATAGATTGATGAAAAGATCTCCTTAAATCTCACCGGAATCCAAAATAGCCTCCTCCGCCGGTTATGAGGAAGCTGTTGTCTTTTCTATTGACTTCCATTGTGTTAAGATGCACTGCAAAAATGGAGGAAAAGGGACATAAACATGATTTTATTTTAAGACACAGAGGATGTTTAATGCTCATGTCGGTTTTGTAAATGGTTGTGCTTTTAAACAGAATGAAAACAGTACAGAAAATAATCACTTTCTTCGCTGACTGAAGTCAAAGTGTCTACCGAGAAGTACAGGATCAGTGTGCGCGCATAACATAACCAGGATTTATTAAATACATAACATAATGTGTGCAGTGTCGTCTATTAAATGTTTAACCAAAATTATACTGATATAAATAAATACATACCTCTACAACCGACAGCAAGGCGTGTGTAAACGTCCACTTCCTAGGAAACGCGTGAATGGGCGGGAGGACAAAAGCTGCTGATTTGATTGGGTAAGAGTGAGCTGTGCTTTGCAGTGATTGGCTGAAGGTGAAACGAACACATAACCGCAAGAACAAGCGAGAAAGCACATGGGTCAAAGGCTATTTTTTTCAGAGCAAATATAATCGTATAGTTAACCATGATTGAGAGAAAACACCAGCAAAACTGTCCAAATTAATCTATTTAATTAACTGTGGCTTTCTTTCTGTCTATCTAGATTAGATTAGATGATTAGATCATTTTCAACATTATTGTCATTACACGTGCAATAGCAGCAAGTGCAGGATACAGGTATAAGTTATAAAGTGCAATTATAGAAAACTATGGTGATCATTACAGATGGATTTACTATGAACATTATATACAGGTTGTATTAACCATGATCAGAGATTTACAATATGAATATATGTACAGGTTGCTAATAATAATCACAGGTATGCAGATAGATATGAACATAATTACAAATTATATGTACAGTGGTTATGTACAGTTTAAGATGAAATAGTGCTGCGTCTATCTATCTATCTATCTATCTATCTATCTATCTATCTATCTATCTATCTATCTATCTATCTGTCTGTCTGTCTGTCTGTCTGTCTGTCTGTCTGTCTGTCTGTCTGTCTGTCTGTCTGTCTGTCTGTCTGTCTGTCTGTCTGTCTGTCTGTCTGTCTGTCTATCTATCTATCTATATATCTGTCTGTCTGTCTGTCTGTCTGTTTGTGTTTTAGGAAAAAGGATGCTAATAAAAACAAATATATTTTAATGCATGATAAAACAATGTACATGAATATAAAGATGAATATTACAGTGTTACGTGTAACTTATTACACATTCATTTGAAAAGAAATCAAGTATTTTTCCTAATATACTGAAATAGTCTTTTGACAAATTATATGTACAGTGGTTATGTACAGTTCAAGATGAAATAGTGCTACGTCTATCTATCTATCTATCTATCTATCTATCTATCTATCTATCTATCTATCTATCTATCTATCTATCTATCTATCTATCTATCTATCTATCTATCTATCTATCTATCTATCTATCTTTCTGTCTGTCTGTCTCTCTGTCCGTCCGTCCGTCCGTCTGTCTGTCTGTGCTTCTCTGTTTGTCTCTGTTTTTTGAACAAAATGTATAATTTATAAAACAATAAATATATTTAAATGCATAATAAAACAATGTATTCTTCTAAAACATGAATGCAGTGTTACATAACTTATTACAAATTTATTTAAAAAGAAATCAAGTCTTTTAGCTAATAAGGAATTTGTCTGTCTATCTACAAATTATACTGTTTTACATACAAATGATTTTACATACAAATAATATTGAACATTCCTCATATCTAATTTGAGAGATGAACCGATCAGAAATGTTGACTGAAAGATAAAAAGAACTAGTTTTTTCAACGCAGTTCAACGCACACCACTGTTGTTATGACACCGTTCACGTGAACGCTCATAAAGAGGGCGTGACCGAGGACGTAGTGGGCGTGAGCGACGCCGTGGGGGGCGTGTCGAGGTAGAAGCGCGCTGAAAGGATGTCCAACGGCGTAGTTTCAACGATGCATTTGACAAGCTAACGCCTTTCTGCTCGTGACATCTCCGGGGAACCGATCTCCGCCGAAGCTCAACGTTCTCTGTGACATTTCGGATTTATTTGTATATTTCTGGTGACAAAATCGACGCAGGTTGTCATTCTGGCACGGAATATGAACATGGCCGCGCAACTCCCGGAGGTTCGAGGACTCCAAACCGATGAGGTAAATAAATTCAGCTGTCATACCATGTGATGCGTTATTATATCAGCCATAGAAATGATCATAATACATAAACATCCGCTCCTATGTGGTATCCGTTGGGTCTCCGACAGGAAGTTCTGCTCCACTTTGTGTTAAAATAACTGTAATCCAAAATATGACGTGCGGTGTGAGTAATTATGGCACATAACAGACCTGTAACTCTCCGTTTACTATGGGATGTGATGGGATTTATTTGGTGTGATCATAAATATGGCTCTTTATCAGTTCCATAATCAAATCGCCGTCTCGTGATTCAAGTCAAGTATTGCGCAACATTTACAGTACCCTGTGAGGGCTTATATGATGGCATACCATATGACGTCACGTGTTTATTATATACATCTTTGTAATTGAATCACATGTAATATGTACTTTCAGTGTATTTATTGTTTTTTTTAGCTCTTTAATGATGATAAGTAACACATTTATGCATATAAACAGTAAACATGTCGTAAAGACATAAAAATATGGTAGTTTTTTTAGATTTTGTTACTAAATAAACCCTCAACCCTAATCCTAAAGTAATAGTTCACCCAAAAATGAGTATTTACTCTTCCTCAAGTACTTCTAAAGGGGTTCATCTTAGTTGTTTTTCTGCTGAACACAAATAAAGATATTTTAAAGATAGCTGAAAACTTGTAACCATCAACTTCCATTGTAGGGAAACATATACCATGGAAGTCTATGGTTACTAGCTATCTTAAAAATGTCTAGCTGTCTTTAAAATAATCGCTATCTTTCTTCAAAATATCTTTATTTGTGTCCAACAGATGAAAGAAACAAAGGTTTGAAACAAGTGAAAGGGTGAACTATCTCGTTAACCCCCACCCCACCCCACCCTCCGTTAAAAGGAAATGATTGTAAAGTAAATTTACACACGCACACACACATTTTAATGTATCCACATTATTGATGACATCATTATTTTGTGGTTCGAAATCTCACTGAAATGAGTCTTTCCCGCTTATGGGTCAAAGTGTCATGCCACAGTTTCCTGTTTCAGGAGGAATTTTGCATGCATGTCGTTGTAGGGCTGGGCGATTTGGCCTAAAATCTAAATTTTACTTGACTATGATTAATGAATAGTTATTTTATCTATTTATTTTATAGTTCACCGACAAGTTTTGTACAGTATAATAATACAAGTGAGAGATTTCTGAATGAAGGGTGCTTTACTTAATTTTAAAAATAATTAAAGAAAATACAAAATATCTACTATCTATGATTATTTACTGAACATAATCGCTGAACAACTGAAATTAAAACACACATCGCCTAATACTTGGCTCTCTGCACCGCCCACCGTCTTCACCGATACCAAACCGACCAATCATAAAGCTTGCGCTATGCATCGTTGTGACATCATTTTTATGAGATGTGCGTGGGTATAAGAAGGCTGAGCCGGACTGTACACATGCCCTTGGCTGAAGTATATTATCAGAATAATATAATAAGTATAAATCACAATATAATAAGTATAATTCAGCCTTAAGAGAGCGGGTCATGTGACTCCACACACTGTAGGGAAAGTAATTGAAAAAATTGGCCTGGAAAAATTTGATCGTTTATAGATTCTGAATGTCGATTTAGATTTTTGTTCGATTAATCGTCCAGCCCTTTGTCATTCAGCCATTTAAAATGAGTCTTGGTCATTTTTATACATCCAAGGGTGCAATTCCCAAATCCATCGTTTGACAATTAAGGTCGCAAGTTCCGTCGTTACCAACATAGTTTGTCAATTTGACAAAACGTCGCTCCAACGAACATTCGCAAACTGCGTGTCAAACTTGAGCACTCGCAACTACAGCTCTGGAGTTTTAGCGATCTTCATGTTTACAATTGTGATCCCGTCGTTGTGCACTTTGAAAACATTGATGTCATTTTAAAAACAGCCTCAAGCGAAAGCTATAGGTGACCTATTATTTAAAAGCAGAATTTATGTTCTGTCTCCAAAGCTTGTGAAAACAAAAAGCATGGGTTAATTCTTTTAATTTATAGTGGGTTATTTATGTGGGTTATTTATTAAGTATCTGTACTGTTTATGACACGGGTCTGCTGGTTGGAACTTTCTGCTGTGGTTTACAAGTGTCAAATTGTAAAAGTAGACTTTTCAAAAAATAAATAAACAATATCCTACTTAATAATAATAATGATAATAATAATAATAATAATAATAATAATCATGAATATTATTATTAATATTATTATTAAATTATGATTTTATTTTATTTCTAATACATAATAATAAAAATAATAATAATTATAATCATCATCATGATCATCATTAATATTATTAATATTATTATTAAATTAGGATTTTTTTCATTTCTAATACATAATAATAAAATAATCATAATTATCACAATCATCATCATCATGATCATCATTAGGATTATTAATATTATTATTAAATTACAATTTTTTCATTTCTAATACATAATAATAAAAATAATAATAATTATCATCATCATCATCATTAGTATTATTAATATTATTACTAAATTAGGATTTTTTTAATTTCCTAATATATAATAAATATTACATTTCATTTTATAATAAATAGCCTCATTATTTATTTATTTATTTATTTATTCATATGATTTATATATGATATTAGAGTAGGTGTTAGCTTTTGTAAGTGATTTGTTTTAGAATAGGATATGTCATATTCTCAATAATATTTGTAAAGGAAACACAGGCTCTCTATGTGGCTTTTACATATAATTCGGTTAATATGGAAAGCCTGTCATGTTTTTACCAAAACTAATATTGGATTTTATTTTATCTACATGTGCATGTAAAACAATATAATTTGCACAAAGAAATGATAGGGTTCTTCTCTTAAGATGTAGTTCCTCCGCCCCGTTTAGAGCGTGATTCTGGGCATTTTACGCTGTAACTAACATGGTCCAAGCGATAGATCTGCGGCAGATGAACTATGCGTTTTGGGAAACACTCGTCACTACATCGTTCTTTTCCCAAAAGATGCATCGTACTATGATAGTTCAGCCGTGAGTTACGTCGTTGTTTGGGAAACGCACCCCAGGCTGTTTAATAGAGCGTATTAGTTCTGGTTCAAGAAGTGTTTTCCTGTTATTTTTTCCCTTTAATAATAAAAATCAATTAAAAAATAATAATAAAAAATAATTATCATATTGAATTGTTTTAAACTATTAAGCAGACCAACCAGCTATGTGAAAATCACAATATTGTACAAAAAATTATTATATATAATATTATACATTAAATTGTACATAAAAGAATAACTGTGAGGTATTAGACTGTGACCTTAATTGATTTACTAAGGAAAAAAAACTACATTTCCCATCAATCATTGCAAATGACGCCCTCAGATCATAAGAAAAATGACGAGAAATATTAATATATTACAATATCTATCTAAAGTTGTTGGTTCTATCTGTAGACAACAGTATTTGTCAAGTGTATAGCAAAATATGTCATAAATAATGGGTATAAATAATTTTTTTTAAGCATATATTCGATCTGGTCACTTTGCTGTACGCTTCATGGGAGTGGGCGGAGCTAAATATTATTAATATTATTTAATATGCAGCAAAAGTCAGTCTTCTTTTTCGAGTGCCTTGTACTGACTGCTGTTTATTCTGATGAATCCCTGACCAAAACAGCACCAGCTCATTATTTAAGCTACCCCTAAGCACTTTTGTATCGTTTAAAACGCTTTGCATGCTGCAACTCTCTGATTGGTCGAATGTTCCGTGCAGCATCATGGGAAATGTAGTTCTTCTGCACTGTTAAACACTGTTGAGCAGCTTAAATAACAGCACATATTATCAATTAACAACCTCACAACAGTCTAATCTGCGAGGGTTAATCAGTGATTACTAAAAAACAATTTTACTATGGAGATATTACAGCAAAACTTGACTTAGCGATCCATTGTCTTTATCATTTGTGTTGCTTAAGGAATATCTTTGTGCTTTTTTTCAGGATGAATCCAGAATCTTAAGGGTCAAAATCATTGCTGGAATTGGTTTGGCCAAGAAAGATATTTTGGGTGCAAGGTCAGTGTTTTAAACCGCTTAACAATGAACATCAACACTTGGGACATTATATCTTAATTCAAGTAAACAATCGGCTTTCTTAGTCAAAACTAAATGTTTCTTGTCTTATTTTTATCTTAATATTTCACTCTTTAATGCACCAGTATTAAATATATTGGCTATGGCTTTAAAGATTGTCTGATAAACAGTTTATATTTAGCCATTTAGCACATTTTAAGGTCACTTGGTTTAGTAGTTTGCTTTGTGTACCAGCATAGTGTTCACATGTCACATACCATCAGTTTGTTATGACAACATGAAATCATTTGTCCGTCCCTCCCGCATTATTAGACGCTCATACTGGCTTTTATCTGTTTCTAAAAAAGAAAAAGTACACCTGTATTTACAGCCTAATAACTGAATTTCAGTGTTTATTATTATATCTGAGAATAAGGGACGAATACCAGTGGTGAAGTCAGCATGAAATTAAGACTGACTTTCTTATTGAGACATTATTGTGTTTGATTGAGCGGTCACATTAAACTCCTGCTTCATTTAATCATGAAAAAAGCCGACTAGATTGTCTTTTCCCGGTGTTTCTGCATAAATGTGTGCTGTTCTGTGAATATTTTGTCATATTTTTGAGTATCCTAATTCGCATTGTAGGTTTGCAGTTGCTGTTAAAGGGATAGGTCACACATATATTAAAAAATCTATCATTTACTCACCCTCTGCTTGTTTTAGACCTGTTTGAGTTCATATCTAAAGTTGAACACAAAATAAATCATTATTATAATGTGAACTCACAGCCATTAAAGAGAAAGATTTCCTAAAAATGAAAGTTTACTCACTATTTAGTCACTCTTAAGTGGTTCCAAACAGAAGAAGATATTTTGAAACTTGTTAAAAACCTGTAACCATTGACTTCCATAGAAGGAAAAATAAATACCGTAGATGTCAATGGCTACAGGTTTCCAACATTCTTCAAAATATCTTCTTTTGTGTTCAACAGAAGAAAGGAACTCATGAAGGGTTGAAACAAGTAAATGAGGAGTAAATGATGACAGAATGTTCATTTTTGGGTAAACTGTCTCTTTAGTTTTACAGTACTGATCAAAACATTAGAATAATTAAGAACTGCTGCCAAAAAGTGACGAATAAATGCATAAAGATTTATATTTCAAACAAATGCTGTTCTCCTTTTAAACCATCAGAGTCATAAAAACAAGAATTCCACAAAAACTTTAAGCAAGACAAACTATTTCTGTATTGATTTTCTGAACACAAAAGAAGATATTTAGAAAAATGTTAGAAACCTGTGACCGTTGACCTTCATAGAAGGAAAGATAAATAGTATGCATGTCAAAGGTTACAGGTTTCCAGCTTTTTTCAAAATATCTTTTGTATTCAAAAGAAAAAAGAAACCCATGAAGGTTTAAAACAAATGAAGGGTAAATTATGATAGAATTGTCATTTTTAGGTGAGCTGTCCCTTTAATTTTTACAGTACTGATCAAAATGGTAGAATAATTAAGAACTGTTGCCAAAAACTGATAAATACATGCATAAAGATTTATATTTGAAATAAATCCTGTCCTTATTTACTTTTTTATTCATAAAAAAAGGCATTAAGCAGGAAAAACTATTTTCTGCATTGAGTTTCTGTTGAACACAAAAGAAGATATTTAGAAAATGTTAGAAACATGTAACCACTGACCTCCACAAAAGGAAAAATAAATACTATGGAAGTCAATGGTTACAGGTTTCCAATATTTTTCAAAATATCTTCTTCTTTAACAGAAGAAAGAAACTCATGAAGGTTTGAAACAAGTGATGATGACAGAATTTTTCATTTTTGAGTGAGTTTTACAGTATTGATTAAAACGGTAGAAAAATTAAGAACCGTTGCCAGAAACTGACAAATAAATGCATATTTATAATTCAAACAAATCCTGTCTTTATTAACTTTTTTTTAATTCATCAAAGAGTCACGAAAATAAGATTTCCACAAAAACTTTAAACAAGAAAATCTATTTCTGTATTGATTTTTTGTTAAACAAAAAAGAAGATATTTAGAAAAATGTTCAAAATCTAAAAGTGTTGACCTTCATAGAAGGTTAAACAAATACTATAGAAGTCAATGGTTACAGGTTTCTAACATTTTTCAACATATCTTCTTTTGTGTTGAACAGACGAAAGAAAGTCATGAAGGTTTGAAATAATAAATGATGAGTAAATGATGACAGACAGTTTGCAGAATTGTCCCTTTAAGTTTTACTGTACTGATCAAAACATTAGAATAATTAAGAACAATTGTCAAAAAGTGACAAATAAATGCATAAAGATATATATTTCAAACAAACGCTGTCCTTATGTACTTTTTTATTCATCAAAGAGTCATTAAGCAAGGAAAACAATTTTTCGCATTGAGTTTTCTGTTGAACACAAAAGAAGATATTTAGAAAAATGTTAGAAACCTGTTACCATTGACTTCCATAAAAGAGAAAATTATTACTTTGAAAGTCAATGGTTACAGGTTTCAAACATTCTTCAAAATATCTTCTTTTGTGTTCAATAGAAGAAAGAAACCCATGAAGGTTTGAAACAAGTAAATGATGACAGAACTGTCCCTTTAAGTTTTACAGTATTGATCAAAATGGTAGAATAATTAAGAACTGTTGCCAAAAAGTGACAAATACATGCATAAAGATTTATATTTCAAATAAATGCTGTCCTTATTAACTTTTTTAAACATCAAAGAGTCATTAAGCATTAAACTATTTTGTGCATTGATTTTCTGTTGAGCACAAAATAAGATATTTAGAAAATGTTTGAAAATTGTAGCAATTGATTTTAATTGAAGTGAAAATAAATACTATAAAAGTCAATGATTACAGGTTTCCAACATTCCAACAATTTCTTCTTTTGTGTTGAACAGAAGACAGACACTCATAAAGGTTTGAGATGAGTAAATGATGACAGAGTTGTCATTTTTGGGTGAACTGTCCCTTAATATTTTACTGTGCTGATCAAAACGGTTGAATTATTAACAAAAAGTGACACATTCATGGATAAAGATATATATTTCAAACAAATCCTGCCCTTATTTACTTTTTTTTTATACATCAAAGAGTCGTGAAGTTAAGTTTCATGATTTCCACAACCATTTTAAGCAGGAAAAACTATTTTCTGCATTGAGTTTCTGTTGAACACAAAAGAAGATATTTAGAAAATGTTAGAAACATGTAACCACTAACCTCCACAAAAGGAAAAATAAATACTATGGAAGTCAATGGTTACAGGTTTCCAACATTTTTCAAAATATCTTCTTTAACAGAAGAAAGAAACTCATGACGGTTTAAAACAAGTAAATGATGGCAGAATTTTTCATTTTTGAGTGAACTGTCCCTTTAAGTTTTACAGTATTGATCAAAACGGTAGAATAATTAAGAACCGTTGCCAAAAAGTGACAAATAAATGCATAAAGATTTATATTTCAAATAAATCGTGTACTTATTAACTTTTTTTATGTATCAAAAAGTCATTAAGCAGGAAAAACACAAAAGAAGATGTTTTGACAAATGTCGGAAAACTGTAACCATTGACTTCCATAGTAATTATCTTTTCCTTCTATGGAAGTCAGTGGTTACAGGTTTTCAACATTTTTCAAAGCATCTTGACATCGTGTGTTATAGAGAGAGAAAAAAATATACTCAGATAGCTTTGGAACAAGTACAACCTTTTTCAATTTTGGGTGAACTATCCCTTTAGCATCCACAATAAGGTTTTTATATTAGTGGCTACCATTTCACATCATTCTTCAAAATATCTTATAATTATATCTTAATATCTTATAATAATTGTTTGAAATCACGTGATAGCAAGTAAATAATGTTGCAATGGTAAATCTGTCCTTTTTGGATGAACTTTCACTTCCAGTAGTTAGTGAAGTAGTTTAACACAAGGTATTTACAAGCAGCTACATGCTAAAGAATGGATATTATGCATAGCCTGCAGTGAAGTGTGGGACGGTGGAAAGTCCTGGTTGTTTCTCACTATCAGTGAAAGAGTGCCTTTCAGGACAGTAGATGGCAGTGTTATCAGCTGTCCTGGCTGTCCTTGAGGAGGCCAGCAGTGCTCACTTTGACCTAAATAACAGCTGTAGGTATGCAATCAATATCTGCGCTCAGTGATATCATCTCTCCTCTACTGTAACACTTGATTGCTTAGAAAAGGGACAAATATTTAAGAAAGAAAAACCAAAATAAAAACAGTTGCATCTAATTCATTTGAACAGAGTCGCTAGACTTAAGTTAGTGATTGGTTGAAGACAATAGGCTGAATATGAATACTTAATCAGATATCATTCAGACCTTGTATTTATTTCAATCAGTGTTGATCATATCCAGTGTTGAGTATAATTAGTTACAAAGCAACTCATTTGCACTGAAAATTTTGAAGTAAGGCATTACTTTTCATTTTTAGGTAAATTACAATTGTTATAATATACATTCACTGGCCACTTTATTAGGTACACCGGGTTGGACCTGCTTTTGCCTTCAGAACTGCTTTAATCCTTCATGGCAGAGATTCAACACGGTGCTGGAAATATTCCTCAGAGATTTCGCTCCATGTTGACATGATAGCATCACGCAGTTGCTGCAGATTTGTCAGCTGCACATCCATGATGCCAATCTCAGAGCAGCTAGGCAGAGCTGTATGTAAATTAATTGCACAGTAATTGTGTTTATCAACTAAAGTAGAACATTTATCAGGACAATTGCATATGCTTAAGAAATAATATTGAGAAATAAGGTTTACATTAAAGCATGTTTTCCATGCTTTGCTTTTGTAATATTTGTTCGTTCACCTTTCATCTACAGTGATCCGTACACTCGAATCTCTCTCTATGACCCAGTCAATGGGGAAATCACCAGTCTACAAACCAAGACCATTAAAAAGGTATGCCTGTGTGTGGTTTAATACACATTTCACCAGTTGCTCAAGAGATGTTTCACAACGTTTTCTTCTTTCTGTTGTTGTCTTTTTCTAATAATAGACTTTGGATCCGAAGTGGAATGAAGAGTTCTTCTTTAGAGTAAGTGAGCTGGATATTTTCTAAGGTCATGCATTTTTTGAGGGGTTGTGCTTATGTGAATTTCTCAAAAACTATCTATTGCTCTATATTAGAAACATTAGCGGTAACACTTTAGTTTAAGTAACAATATACAACAATTACAACTGGGTTATTGCCTGCCTATTATTAAGATATGAACTCTTTATTAGCATATAATAAAGCATATTATAAAGTAGGACCCTATTTTAAATCCCTCTTCCTACCCAACAACTACTACCTTACTAACTAGCATGGGAATAACAGCAGTACAAATAAACAGCGTTAAGGCCCGTGCACACCGAGACGTTTTTTGCTCGTGTTTTCCGTCGACGTTTAACACCTCGTGACTAAATAAAGGGCGTCAATGTGATTGTGCACACCAACGCGCAAAGCGCAAGGCGCAAAAGCACATAGATATATACACTAGATGTCGCCTGGCCTATTGTTGTCTATTGGACGGAATGCGTCAATAGTGCCGCCATCTTGCTACAGGGTAGCGCTCCTTTGAAATGAATGTGGGACCAAGGTACAGTGGAGGACTGTGGCCATGCAAAGGCAGAGATATACACATATATATAATTCTAGACTGTCTACACATACCCGTTTGTACCTGTATTGACCATTGCTTGCCTAACGAAGAATAAACCTGCATTTGGATCTTACCTCAGTTGTATTTGTCACTTCCTGTGGTTACATTATTATTCAGGCATATACTTATAGTTAATTAATATGCTTTATTAACTCAACTTCATGCAGTTTTGTGACCTAATCTAAAGTGAGGAATATTTATGCTTTATAAATCCCTTATAAATGACAAATAAAGACTCAGAAACAAATGAACAATAATCCTTTCATTTTTTTCTCAAAAGTGAAATTACTGTAAAGTGTAAACACGGCTGAATAACAGGAGTGTCAAAATACGACATAAAACAACAACAATATAATAATTTAACAATATAATAAGATGCGATGTCTCTACAGTGATTTTATTTTAGATCAGGTTGCAAAGATTTATTTTTCATTTGAAGCACAGTTTCATTTGTGTATCTTTTAATGAATAGGAATAAATAATGTTGTAACGAGGAGACTGACACGGAGGGATCCATTATGCAGTATTTATTGCTCAAGCACTTATTCACACACACAATATGCACTAACGTGCAAACACACAACAGCAACAGTCTATGATGAATCAAGACTGGCGATGAATAGACACAGGGAGTATTACCAGGCATAGATCGAGGGCAGGCTGCAAGTATCAGAGTCCGTGAACCAAGCGTGGGTCGTGGGCAGGTAGCGAACATCAGCGTCCGTATAACAGGCGTGGTTCGTGGGCAGGCAGCGAGTATCAGAGTCCGTATACAAGGCGTGGGTCGTGGGCAGGCAGAAGGCGAAGCAGAGTCAAGAAACAGGCTGGAGTAATACACAAGGAGTCAGGCAGGAATAACGCTCAGAAATGCTGGCCGGGGCTAAACAAGACTTCACACTGAATGAGCGTTTGGTGCTGGCTTATAAAGGGTACGTGGGTCATTAGCGGGATTCAGTTCAGGTGTGCATGATCAGGGTAAATGGATGATGTAATGCTTAGAAGTCCGGAGATGGTGGCCTCTGCTGGCCAGCGAGGGGAATGACTGGGACCGAGTCGGTGACAAATGTCATTTTTTCCTGTTTAGAATTGAACTGAGCCTTTGTTTGTCATTTATAAGGGATTTTTAAAGCATAAATAGTTACTTTAATTACTTTTAATTAATTAACATAAATTTTACCAGATTTTTGTGTTTTGTTGTGTGTTTTTTCACAGTAAAACAGAAGAATTGAATTAAGTAACACCTTAAGTTTTGAGAAAAGTCAATTTAAGCTGCAAATATTACAAGAAAATCCTTGCTAAATCCTGGAGAGACTGAATAAATATTATTAAATGCTCCTTTTTAGTCAAAGGGGATTGGCAAGAAGCATTACATTTGCAAGCTGAGAAAATATTATATAATTTTCCTTCTATGCTAATGAAGGACTACTGAGACATTCCAAGCATGGGATGGGTCCTCCTGGTGAGGCAGAGTTCCTCCAATACAGATCTCTGCCATTTGCTTGCGTTAACCATGTGCTCTTCACCATACACAATTCATCTGCTTGTGTTCTTCCTTCAGAAAACTTTGTCATGTTTGGTGTCATTTGACAGTTTATGACTTCAGTGTTGTAGTGATGAAATCAACAGAGACATTGATTAATTGTATTTCAATCTACAATATATTTACTATTGTTGGGTCATGGCCTGAGGAGAGTATGTTAATGTTCTTCTCCCCCACTTCATCTCTTCAACTTTGCTCTCACGTTCAGCTGGTTTTGGGGGTTGATTTTCACTCATGTTTGACAATGCTTTGCTCAGGGTATAATAGGGAAAGGTAACTGTTGATCTGGGAGAATGACTTTTACCCTGCATCTCCCGCACACCAGTGCGTAGCCTCATATGCTAACAAAGGCAGTTTCACTGTCTTTGTTGCTCAGCAGTGCACATGTTACAGCTAATTTCTTTATACAGTATGTTAGTTTGTGTCATTCTACTGTCTGTATATTTGATCATGTAACTTAATAAACAACTTTGCCTGCTTTAAGACGAAGAGATTCTTTCTCTTTATCAACGATGATAACAACTTTAATGGAGTCAGATTAATTACAATGGAGTCAGATAAATAATGGATTTAAACACGCCATCCTTCAACTGCTTTCTGTTTCCGATTATTGGTTCAGAATAGCAGCGTAAGCTTCAACATTACACATTTTAGCTAGCTTTTGCAGCTGGACATTGCTTTAACATGCCATTGATGGGTGAACATTAGCTAGTGGGGGAGTGTCTTTTGTCTCTCCAGCTGCGAATTATTCATGACCTTTGTCACTCCTACGCATACAATATGCTGACCCGAAATAGACTTTACAAAATGTAAATTATTGTAATGTTTTATTTGAATGAGAGAACAGAATAATTTTCACATAATTGTGAAGTAAATAGTCTAGCCTACAAGACAAGTTTCTCAAAAGTCTTGTTCAGGCGCATTCATTCATTTTCTTGTCGGCTTAGTCCCTTTATTAATCTGGGGTCGCCACAGCGGAATGAACCGCCAACTTATCCAGCAAGTTTTTACACAGCAGATGCCCTTCCAGCCGCAACCCATCTCTGGGAAACATCCACAAACACATTGACACACACTACGGACAATTTAGCCTACCCAATTCACCTGTACCGCATGTCTTTGGACTGTGGGGGAAACCGGAGCACCCGGAGGAAACCCACGCGAAGGCAGGGAGAACATGCAAACTCCACACAGAAACGCCAACTGAGCTGAGGTTCGAACCAGCGACCCAGCAACCTTCTTGCTGTGAGGCGAACGTGCTACCCACTGCGCCACTGCCTCGCCCAGGCGGATTCAGTGTGATTTTTATTTATTTTTTAACCTTATTTCAGCTACATTTTTTTCTCCAAAACCTACTAACCACACATACTTTTTTTTCCTAAAAAACGCAAGCATGTACATCAATAATTCTAACATATTATTGTAGCACAGTTGGTGCTGACTACAAAACATTACATGTTGGCCAATACTGTGTAATAGGTAGCTGAAATAAGCACAAATGTCTGGGCATGTAGAAACATCTCAGGTGCCCCAAAGATCCCTGAGGGTGAAGTATTTAAATAATATTATTAAAAAAATTGTATAATTATTGACATTTTAGACTACATTTGTAAAGTCACACACCCGTTAGTTTATGTTGGTATTAATTCCAAAAAAACTTCTTGTCCACACAGCATGATTTTCAGAAAGTCTACAAATAATACATGTATTTATATACTGTATATATATAGACATGCTGTTGTCAGTGACACTCTTAATAGTGTCATCAATTTCCATGTTGTCAAATAAACATCATCTGCTTTAATATTTAACGCTTTCCTTCTCGCTATATTCTTTTATATTTGTCGTTATCACACTTGGAAACTGAGTGTGATCCAGTAATGTGTACTTGAGGACTGATATCACCACAGCAGATGCGTTCGCTGTGTTTGATAATAATAGAAAACGTCATACAATACGGGCTCTTCATATGTCAGCATTGGGAGCCTGTTTGAAAGCTTAAGTGTTTAATAAAAGCCGTTTGCATTTTATATTAGTCGGCCATAATGGTGTATTGTTTCTGAGCAGCCCAAAAACAAACCACACTGTAGAAAATGCAGGGTTCCACATGATTCATTCATGTTGTCTCAACACAAATCAATTAATTTAACAAATTGAAGCGTGTTGAACATAACACAATGAAGTTGTCCCCCCAAAAATCTCATGAATTGTGTTGAATTGGGTTAAACAAGCTGAAAGGTAGCTCAGTGACTAGCACTCACTGCAAAAAGCTCTCTGGTTGGAGTCCCGGCTGGGTCAGTTGGCATTTCTGAGTTTGCATGTTCTCCCCGTGTTGACGTGGGTTTCCTCTCAGTGCACCTGTTTCCCCCACAGTCCAAACACATGTGCTATAGGTGAGTTGAATAAGCTAAATTGGCCGTAGTGTATGTGTGTGTGTGTGAATGTGAGTGTGTATTGGTGTTTCCCAGTACTGGGTTGCAACTGTAAGGTCATTCGCTGTGTAAAACATATGCTGGAACAGTTGGTGGATCATTCCGCTGTGGCGACCCCTGATAAATAAGGGACTAAGCCGAAGGAAACGAATGAATGCAAAGCAGATTATAAAAGCAGTCAAGTTAATGCATTGCAAACAAAAATAAAAAAAGCCCTAGCAACACCCTAGCAACCAGCCATAGTTTGTTTATCATGCACCTCTCAAGTTGATATACACAGATGAGCAGTTCAAGCTCAAGTTTATTAGCATAAGTCCAGTAGGCAATTATTGGTGCAGCATTAAATCTTTAAGCATCACACAGGTTAGTGGGCTTGACAAACCACCTGTAGAAAACACACTCTTTCATCTCGCTGACACTT